TATGTATTAGTGCGTGCGTGCATATTTCCCTATATATATATGTATATGTACAAACTGGATTCCAAAAAAGTTGGGACACTAAACAAATTGTGAATAAAAACTGAAAGCAATGATATGGAGATGGCAAATGTCAATATTCTATTCGTAATATAACATAGATGACAGATCATAAGTTTAATCTGAGTAAATGTAACATTTTAAAGGAAAAATATGTTGATTCAAAATTTCACAGTGTCAACAAATCCCAAAAAAGTTGGGACAAGTAGCAATAAGTGGCTGGAAAAAGGAAATTGAGCATATAACAAACAGCTGGAAGACCAATTAACACTAATTAGGTCAATTGACAACATGATTGGGTATAAAAAGAGCTTCTCAGAGTGTCAGTGTCTCTCAGAAGCCAAGATGGTAAGAGGATCACCAATTCCACCATTGTTGTGCAGAAAGATAGTGCAGCAATACCAGAATGGTGTTACCCAGCATAAAATAGCAAAGACTTTTAAGTTATCATCATCAACCGTGCATAACATCATCAAAAGATTCATAGAATCTGGAACAATTGCTGTGTGTAAGGGTCAAGGCCGTAAAACTCTACTGGATGCTCGTGATCTCCGGGCCCTTAAACGTCACTGCACCTCAAACAGGAATGCCACTGTCAAGGAAATAACAGAATGGGCTCAGGAATACTTCCAGAAAGCATTGTCAGTGAACACAATCCACCGTGCCATCCGCCGTTGCCAGCTGAAACTCTACAGTGCAAAGAGGAAGCCATTTCTAAGCAAGCTCCACAAGCTCAGACGTTTGCACTGGGCCAGGGGTCATTTAAAATGGAGTGTGGCAAAATGGAAGACTGTTCTGTGGTCAGATGAGTCACGATTTGAAGTTCTTTATGGAACACTGGGACGCCATGTCATCCGGACCAGAGAGGACAAGGATAGCCCAAGTTGTTATCAACGCTCCGTTCAGAAGCCTGCATCACTGATGGTATGGGGTTGCATGAGCGCTTGTGGCATGGGCAGCTTGCATGTCTGGAAAGGCACCATTAATGCAGAGAACTATGTTCAGGTTCTAGAACAACATATGCTCCCATCTAGACGTCATCTCTTTCAGGGAAGACCCTGCATTTTTCAACATGATAATGCCAGACCACATTCTGCAGCAATCACAACATCATGGCTACGTAGGAGAAGGATCCGGGTACTGAAATGGCCAGCCTGCAGTCCAGATCTTTCACCTATAGAGAACATTTGGCGCATCATAAAGAGGAAGGTGCGACAAAGAAGGCCCAAGACGATTGAACAGTTAGAGGCCTGTATTAGACATGAATGGGAGAGCATTCCTATTTCTAAACTTGAGAAACTGGTCTCCTCTGTCCCCAGACGTCTGTTGAGTGTTGTAAGAAGAAGGGGGGATGCCACACAGTGGTAAAAATGCACTTGTCCCAACTTTTTCGGGATTTGTTGACGCCATGAAACTTGGAAACAACAGATTTTTCCCTTAAAATGATACATTCTCTCAGTTTAAACTTTTGATCTGTGATTTGTGTTCTATTCTGAATAAAATATTAGATGTTGGCACCTCCACATCATTGCATTCAGTTTTTATTCACAATTTGTTTAGTGTCCCAACTTTTTTGGAATCCGGTTTGTATATTTGTATGTGTGTGTATTTATATGTATATGTTTTTGTGTATATGTGTGTGTGTGTATATATGTATATGTGTGTATGTGTATATATGTATATGTGTGTGCGTATATATGTGTGTATATATTTGTATATGTGTGTGTATGTGGATATACAGATGGATATATAGATTTATAGATAGATATCAGAACTTTTCCGTGGCACCTTTTCAAAATGCAAATATATCCCTTTAAGAGTAAACCTTTTCCCACCTTTTTCTCTCTTTTAAATTCTCTGGAATAACATATTTTTGTTTTGCAGGTGCACACAGAAGACCTGCAGGACAAAGCCTTGTCGTCCTTATTCGTGCTGGTCTGTGACACGTTTGAGGTACAGTTAAAGCCACACAGCTGACTCTTGAACAGTGATGGCTTTTAATTTCAAGTTGCATGTGTTGTTTTGTTTTTTGTTGTTTGTTTGTTTTTCAGGGATCCAAGCCTCCTGCCTGTGGAGGGTCCAAACATCAACACTACAGAAGTTACTGCCACAATGAATTTTGAAGTATTTTATCCTCCAGATGTGGCACATGACCAAAAACACTGAGGAATCTCATCACCACTTAGTTTAATGTTAATGTTAATACATTTTCCATTTCACCCAGTGACGTGCAGTCAGGGGAGGCAGGTGAGGCAGTGCCGCACCCGTTATCATGACAAGTACAATACTTACAATGATAAGAGAAAATACATTTGACCACTGACTGTTCTATAAAACCATTTTATAAAACTGTTTTCTGAATTATTTCAACACTTCAATGGTCAAAATCGCGACATTTACATATTGCCTCTTCAAACAATGTGGGGTGAGGCAGTGTAGTGCTCTGGTTCACCTCTGGGGGCGCTGTGTCATATACAATATATGAAGGAGGTGGTTGGAGAATTCCCACTGCTGTCTTTTTATATCACCAGTTTACATGTTTGATTGCACATGTGCTACACATGTTGATGTTCTACAGTCTGTCTCATATTTTGAATGCATGTGTGTGACATTTTTCTTCGTTCTAATCGATCATAATTTTCTTCTTCTTCGGCTGCTCCCTTCTTCAGAGGTCACCACAGCGAACTAAGTTGCATGACGACTTGGCTTCTAATTGGTCATAAATGCACGCTGAAAATGCACAGGGTGAGGCAGAAAGTATCTTGCCACACCTCTAGGGGGCAGCAGTTCTGCCCCGTAGGGACGATGAGTCAGGTGCAGTCGCTGTACGTTCTTCTGTTGTGCAGAGGGGTGGGGGTGTAGCAAATGGTACACTCATTTAAATTTGTTTAGACAAAATGGAAGATCATATCTCAAAACTAAAGGATTTTTCTAAACTACATTTTCAATCGAAACAGAAGATATTAGAGAGAGAGAAAAAAAGGCTAAATTGAAATATAAACTTTTATTTTGGGTTCATATTTTTGAGCATCGATTCCAGACAGTCAGTGCCTCACCTGTCACAAAGCTCACCGCACGTCACTGATTTCACCAAATACTATTTTAAATTTTTGTCTTTAATGAAATTGTGTCTAAAATCATAAGAGATTGTTTTGACATGATGACTTGATGAGTTCAGTTTATCTCTTAGATGATGCCATACTTCATTTTTTTGGCAGCTACTGTCCAACTACTGAAGTTACATCCATGTTGACATGTATAAAACTTTAGTAAAAGTTCCTAAATCTGCCAATTTTTAAGAAATAAAAAATAAAACCTGTTGAAGTATTACATATTATCCTTCACCTTTCATGCCAACATATTTTAATACTCCATTTATTAAATTTTAAATTATTTTCAATCAACTTTAAACCTTTTTTCTGACACCCTCAATGAAGACGCTTTTCTTCCCTCTCCTGCCTTCCTCCTGCTTTTGCTCTTTGTCCTGTGTATCAGAGCCTCTTTTTACACAACTTCCAAATCATAAATTATGTATCTGATCAACTGGTCTCGCAACACAATTGATAAATTGTTCTCGACGAGGAGACTGGGTGCAGGAGAGCCCTCATGCCCTGAAGGGACACACGCTGCTGGAGATGTCATGGATTCCTGGGGTGTATGGAAAATGATGTGTCACTCTCTATTATCTGTTGGGGATGTTGAAGATGCGTACGTAATTGGATTTATGATAACAGGGTTTCTGCTTTTTGGAATCATTGGGTACCTGGGATATCGACAAATTAGGAAGACGTTGGCAGCAGTTTTGGCCATGGTGAGGCTGCCTGCCTTGTGAAAGATTACACTGTGCTTTGAGCGCTCAGACTCATATGTTTTGCGAACCGTAAGTTTGATGCGATTTCTGAGAATCGTATGCCACTTGCAGCTCCTAGGATTCACTGCCATGAATGAACCAACCTTGGAGAAGGATAACAAGCACGGACTGGCAGAATGTCCACAAATCTGGCTGTTTGGATTCACCATTGAGTGTACCAGCAGAACTGAAGGCAGACATGTCAGTAGAGTCTGCCTGCCCAAAACAAATGTTTATCTGAATCTGGCCTCCCCACTGGCCTTGGATAGGCCAACTTATCTCAAATTGCTCCTGGTGGATATGTAAACCAAGAAGCTCTACTCCCCCTCCCTGCCCCCCACCCCAAGAACTTTTGTGGACTCTTATCAGAGTTGTACCGACTGATAGACACTGTAACTTCTTTTATCAGGACTATGGAAACTATCTGGAAGTGTTCATGGACAATCTCACCATCTTGTCAACACCCACCACCCCCTGCAAAATGTATTATGTTGTAGTATGAGCAGGTCCCCGGTTCAAATCCCGGTCCGGGGGCCTTTCTGGGTGGAGTTTGCATGTTCTCTCCGTGCATGCGTGGGTTTTCTCTGGGTACTCCGGTTTCCTACCACAGACTAAACATGCATGTTAGACTGATTGGTAACTCTAAATTGTCCCTAGGTGTGAGAGAGAGTGAATGGTTGTTTGTCTCTGTGTCCCTGTGATGGACTGGAGACCTGTCCAGGGTGTACCCCGCCCCTCGCACAGTGATTGCTTGATATGGGCACCGGCGACACCCATGACCCAAAATGGAAGAAGCGGGTAAAAGATAATGGATGGATGGATATTGTATGTTTCTTGTGCTGAGGTAGATTTTTTGCACCTTACTTTGTGCCCTGTGTCCAAGGACACGGTGTGAGAGATCTTTTTTTTTTTAATACCTTCTCTCCTCATGTTTTCTTCCCCTTTTCTAAGCGATAAGGGCAGCGCTTCATAGAAGCTGCGGCCCTGCTGCACTTCCGTCTACCCTTCAGACGACTGTACGGAACGTTATTTTGCTACTTTGTGCAATGACAATAAAGTTGATTCTGATTCTGAACCACAAACTGATGGAGAAAAATATTCTCGCTTCTCTTACTTACTCAAAAAGAACCACACTCGATGGCAGAAAATTTCTAACTGGTATTTACTTGCAAAGTCAGATTTTCAGGACAGGTTACACAAATATATAGAAAGTACACACATGAAGACCAGACACAAGAATCTGACCCGAGCTGCCTTCTCATCTTGCTTTATACCCTTATCAGTTCAGCTGAGTTCACAGACACAGAGGTGTCCTTGTCTGCAGCCTCGCTCAACTCCTCCAGCTCTCTCTCTGCTAACCCAAACGTATGGTTCATGGGCAGAGTTAAGATTCTCAGCCTTAATAGTAAAAACATCCATAAGCTTTGACTGAAAGAAAACATCAACAACAACAACAACAACAACAAATGAAATGTTTAAAAAATAATTATTTAAATATTACTACATTTTCATACACATTACATATATGTATAAGTGGAGATACAGTATTCTGTTCTTAAGTCCATTTGGAGCAGAGAGGACCAGAACAGAAAACTGAACAGAGGAAAGTCCAAGAACAGGAAATTTATGCCAACATTATCTAAACAATTCCAAGGCCTGTGTGTGTGTGTGTGTGTGTGCGCGCGCGTGCGTATGTGTTTGGCTGTGGTGGATCAGCGGTTGAAGCAGTGGTCTTTAGTGTTTGAGGGTTCAATCCCTACTTGAAATTTCTATTTGATTCAGAGATGATATATTGTATCATCAATTAAAATTTTTACATAATTGTATCTATTAAAAGTTAGTATTTCCACTAATAGCATTTAACTGTGTTATTCTGGAGTATTATGTCAGAATAATTTTTAAATCAAACTAGAAATCCAATTTAGAAAGCTGTGCAGCTCAGGGTGGGAGATGTATTTCTCAGATTTATTAGACCAAACTGTTCTTCACGACACAACCTCGACTCGTGGGAACGAGGAAAAAGGCAAAAACTTTGTAGACACAAAAACCAACAGGCAACTGATGTTCGCCCACTAATACTGTGTTTTTGCTCAGGAGCCACCACTGCTATTAAGGTTTTTCTTTAGCAGGAGAAAGAACAAGTGAAGTAGTCCTTTGGAAGAAAAATATATTAACAAAATTAAGTCCGTTCGATAGTTAGGTTTTCAGCGATTTCCCCTATCATTATTCAAGAAGCACCCTCCCAGTGACACTGCCCACCCTGCCAGAAAGATCACAGCATGTTAAAATGTTCATACGTGCGTACAACTTGTGCATGAGACCAAACTCTTGCTAGCAGGGAGCGCGCATGAACTTTGATGTTTTTAACCTCTTTGACCATGACTGCATCAGACGAGTCGACGGGGGAGAGGGCGGACTCCAGAGCAGATCTGAGCACCATCAAACTATTTGACCCACTATGCGAGTGTGCTGCTTGTGGGACTGAGTTTGTTGTGCCTCCTTGGACTGATGAAGTCCTTTGGATGAAGGACAAAATGTTTCAACAAAAAGAAACCGTGTGTTTCTGTAAAGTTTGTTTTTTGTTTTTAAAGAAAAAAGTGTTTTTGTTCAGTGCCCTGACATGATTTCTGTTGTGACTTGGCACTATTTAAATAAACTGAACTGAACTGAGACGGCACGGTGGCTCAGTTGGTAGAGCTGTTTCCTATCAGCAAGAAAGTTGCCGGTTCAAATCCCTGCCCAGGGCCTTTCTGGGTGGAGTTTGCATGTTCTCTCTGTGCATGCGGGGATTTTCTCCGGGTACTGCAGTTTCCTTTCACAGACCAAAAACTAGGGATGCACAGATCCACATTTTTTTTACTTCCGATCCCTAAATCTTGATATCTGCCGATACTGATCCAGTTACAATATCATCATCATTATTGATTTTATATGAGGCTGTAATAATCTCCTCTCAAGTACAATTTGTACAAATATATGCATGCATGTCCAAAAAGGCAACTTGAGGTAAGTTTTATTAATGTTGGGTAAGTTTTAAAGTTGGAATTAAATTCTAACACAAAACATGTTTTTTTAATCCCTAGCTTTAAAGTCGATATTAAAGTGATTAATTTAAGTGATTGTTTAAAGGTTTTTTGTTGTTGTTTTTTTTTTAAATAAGGGGCAGATATAATTTTTTTTCTTCTTTCTGCACTCTTTTCATTCAATGTTTTCTTTTTGATTAATTTGTTTTATTTTGCTTCAAGTGAATGAATAAATGAATTAAATAAACAAAAATGTTAAAATAAACTAAAATGTTAAATGGCTTTAAACATCTGCTAAGTTCATGGCATAAACCAACACAGATATGTTCCTGTTTTTAGTATTTTACATCACTTTATAATTTAGCTGTTT